GTAGCTGTGCTTATTACGTTGCTGCTCTTTCAGGATGGCAACTCCCCATCTCAGCCGGCACATCAACCTTCGAAGGTACCCTCAGCCCTATAGTGTCTCTAGTTACCGATCCTTCAGGTTTTATATGTACGTAACGTCCCGGAGTCGGTGACTGAGCAAGATATTATCGCTTATTGCCTCACGTTTGGACGTGTGGTCAACATATTGTTGCTCAGAGATAAGAGGCACGGATTCATCGAGTTTGAGGTGGGCCTTCGTCAACCTCCCCGCAGCATTAGGCACAGCATTTGCACAGGACGAGTCTTCTGCTATCAAGTGTTACACCTACTATAACGCGAACCCGCTTCTTATCACTGGCCACAGATTGGAATTCGCCTTCTCGGGCAGGTCAGAGATCACAGCCAGAAGGGTACCACTTCATGAGCAATTTCGTTTCATGTTTCCCAACGTTGTTCCAGGATCCCGATTCTAACCCGCCGAACCGCATCCTCCTATTCACCATAACCAACTTGGTATACCCCGTCACCGTTGACGTCATATCTCAAGTAAGTCGATGATGCTGGCCAACCGCCTCACTCGCCTCTGCCGTGTTGCCTTACCTTCATGCGTTGGCCCTTCCCTTTCAGGTAATGAATAAGTTTGGTGGATTGGAGAAGGTCATTGTATTTAACCGCGGCAATGCAGTCCAAGCGCTCGTGCAACTCGCTGATGTGGACACAGCCAGTAAGAGTCAATTTGGGTTAACGATCAATAGGTTATCTTTTGTTGTTCATTCGCAGACGTAGCTAAAGAGCAGCTGGATGGTCAGAACATTTACGCTGGCTGCAACACGATCAAAGTACAGTACTCCTCGCTGCCTCAACTGGAGGTCAAACATAATAATGAAAGGAGTTGGGACTTCACAAATCCGAGCTTGCTTCGTGAGTGTTGCATATTCCTTCCACTCTTGTATGCGTGCGTCGCTTTCAGCCGGTGGTATGGACGGTGGCTCCGGTCTCACACCTCTTCACCAGCAGCAAATGCTCGGTGGAGCTGCAGGAGGCCAGTCTCCTGCCAACCTCATGGCCAACTTCAACTACGTCCAGGCCATGAATGCTCTGTCCCAAGCTAATCTCCAGGTGGGATAGCAACGTGTAAGGGCCTTCTCAATAACGCGTTCTGACCTCAGAATCCCTCAGCAGCGATGGCAGCTGCGGCGGCGGCACTCCAGGCCAGTATGGGTGGGGCGGGTGGTGGTTTGTCAGCAGGTGGTGGTTTTGGAACCCCAACCGCTGCTGGTAGATAAAACTTGAAGTGTAATATGTGCCATACTTCTGCTCGCTCAGGGGCGGCTCCGGTTGTGATCGTTCACGGACTTAATGAGCAAGAGACGAGACCTGATGATCTGGCAGCGCTATTTGCCGTATACGGCAATGTCGTGAGAGTGAAGATCATGTTTAAGGCTAGACACACTGCCCTGGTAAGCGGCCACTTAACGTGTTTCAGCTTGGTGTAGTTGTGAAGCTGTAGGTTCAAATGCAGGACATGCAACAGTGCCGTACAGCTATATCGTATTTGCAGGACGTATGGCTCCATGGGAATCAACTCACAATGGAGATGAGTAAAGGTGGAAACATACCCCCTATCCCACCAAGTAGTTTGAGATCGTCGAGTATGGGAGTGCTTGGCTGGAGATTTGTCGGTTGGTGGAACTCAATTTTAAGTACACCTTCCAACCGTGCCGGCATGGAGCTTCTCACGAAGGAC